GTGATGACAAATACAATTTTTTTATAATCACGATGTAAGGGCCTATTTAGTTTCTGGTTTCAAAGACAGTTTTTTGTTTTTTAAAACAAAAAAATTTAAAAGCTTATTTGAATAAGTATTTTTAACCTAATTATTTTTAAAATTGTTCCTATTTTTTTATTTTTAAAAATAAAAAATAAAAAAAACTTAAAATTATTTAAATTTTATTTTTCTTGTTGTCAAAACACATTACATTTAATTATTAAAAACTACAGTTATTCGGACTGATAATTATTATAAGTGATCACCATTAACCTCAAATGAACATCACTATTGGTCAATTTTTTTATTTTAAAAATATTTTAAAATTAATATAACTAAACATATTTTAAAAAATATATTACAAATTTGTTTTTAAAAATAAAAAATAAGTACAAAAACCAAACAAATTTGAATTGATGATTGTATTTAGTACAGGTATTGAGCGCGTGTATCATCTAAACTATTAAAATTTATATCAATGATTATAAATTTATTAATTTTAAGTAAAATATAAATTTATAACTATTAATTTAGATTTCAACAGTTTTGATAGTATAAGCACTCAGTATCTATATTTAATATAGTTATCAAATCTAAATCTAAAATGAAACAAGTCCTAACACTCACACCAGGGCATTCACGATCTCAAGTATTGCTGGTTAACTCATTTTTGGAAACAAAAATTTTGAAAAATAAATCAAATACTCCTGAAATCCTAATTTTATATTATTGTTTTAAAATCACAAGTTTCCTCTGGAATTTTCGTGTTACGTGATCATCATTATATCATCACTGCACCAAAGTCGAACCTGAAGGTGGAAAGTGGAAAATTTAATTCAATCAAATGCTATCGTCTTTAAAGTTTCCAGTCACAATCTCTCTCTCTCTCTCTCTCTGTCTCTCTCTCGCTCTCTCTCTCACGCGTACACGCCTTTGCTTTCACATTTCTGTCTTTGAATTTATTATATCAAATACTAATTTTGAAAAATAAATCAAATACTCCTGAAATCCTAATTTTATATTATTGTTTTAAAATCACAAGTTTCCTCTGGAATTTTCGTGTTTCGTGATCATCATTATATCATCACTTCACCAAAGTCGAACCTGAAGGTGGAAAGTGGAAAATTTAATTCAATCAAATGCTATCGTCTTTAAAGTTTCCAGTCACAATCTCTCTCTCTCTCTCTCTCTCTCTCTCTCTCTCTCTCTCGCTCTCTCTCTCACGCGTACACGCCTTTGCTTTCACATTTCTGTCTTTGAATTTATTGTTTGACTTCATGGCCAAAAATAATAATAATAATAACATCCTTTAATTTTTCAAAAGTAGCATTGTAAAAGAATTTTAACTCGTACTGTTCAGTTTTTTATGAAATTATTTAGAAATTGAATAATTTTAAGAACTGGAAGTACCATCTTGCATCATTTAATTTATACGATATTTACGTTACTTTTTATAAATGATAAAATTTTACATAATATATTGAACCATCAACTTTATTCCGTATTATGTTTTCATAATATAATTAGAATTTTCTATATTTATTTTCAAAACATAATTATAAGATTCAATAAAAATATAACGTGCATCATTAAAATGTAATAAAAGCGAACAAATTATTAAAATGTCTTCAAGAATTAAACTCAATAATTACTATCCTAAAATTATGAAAATTTAAAAATATTCTAATTAACCATGCTAAAAACCACCAAACTGCTTGTTGGCAGTGGTAGGGGCTTGTGTTAATTAAGGAAGTGGTTGAGAATTCAAATTTCAATTCTGATGCATGTAGTAACTTACTCTTTATGCCTCAAAAAAATAACGATGCTAAAAATCTCAAACTTTTTTTTTTTTTTGCATGTACATGACCTGCATCTCACTATTAGAGATAACCTTATTCATGGTATGGTCATATAGTAAATGAAGGCACCATTCTCAATGAAAATTCAAATATTAATTCATTACGTACATTGAGGGCCAACTCTGAAAGTTTTGAGGTTTAAGGCAGAATTATTATAGAGGTATAATATCTGTAATGTATCTCATAAATTTTTATATTGTATTTTTGTCTTTGTGAGTTGAAAAATCACTTATCAGTGTTTTATGATAAAATAATTCTAATATTTTATTTTTAATAAGAAATAGACATAATTCATTCCATTTATATTGTAATATAGTTTATCTTTGATAGAATTTAGAAAATTTTAAAATTGAAAACTTATTTAAATGATAGCAATTATTATTGATATTGTGTAATTTTAAACTAAAATTTTCATTAAAATATCGTTATATATATATATATATCCTTCACTTTTTATTGAATTTATACTCTGTATATATTTGTGAAGAAATAAAGTCATTGTCCTTATAATTTATCTTTAAACTTAAATGAGGCCTATAATTCATGTGAGGCCCTAGGTGATGACCTAAAGGTAGCCACACTCTACATTATGAGAAGCAAGATTATATTATTTAGCTAAACCCAACCCCGTTGATTGAAAAGTTAAAACTATTTCTTTTAACTTTGTAAAGAAAAATTCATTTATGGTCAAGATTTTAAATGCTTTATTTATTTATTATCAAAGATACTGCAGCTTTCATTAAACTGAAAATAACGTCCAGGACAAAACAATAGCAGAAGTAGAAGTAACATGAGAGGACTTGATAGCTTAATCTGCCTGAGGTTAGAATAGAAGACAAAGAAGTTATTAAGTATTAAATTAATTAAGAGCTTTTGAGCATGCGCGTGTTATCATTCTTTATTAACGTCAAAGTTAATGGAATTGATATGAAATATAACTATGCCAAAGGATTATATTAAAACAAAATCTATCCCAAAGTTAAATGATTAAAAGTATAATTTAGCTCTTCACCAAAAACAAAAAACAAAAAATAGAAGCATACTTTAGCTTATACTCTATATATATATATATATATATATCGTTTTCACCTTAATTGTCAAAGAAAAGATAAATATTTAGTTTTGGCCTTGTACGCATGCTGCGAGGTGCAACGCAAAACAAGAGAAGTCAAACGATACATTTTTGGAGTAAAGAATAAATTTAATTTATTATAAATTATATTTATTTTGTTAGAAACAATTAACATATAATTTCATGTTTCAAGTGATTACATCACTACACTATCTTTTCATAAGTTTATTTAAACTTATGAATTTGACAAAGTAGAATGCCTCATGTTCTATGAAAGGTGTGAGGTCTTGAGTACGAGTTCTTAATTGTGGCGATGGAATTAAAAAAAAAAAAAAAAGATGCCCCATGTCCCTTGAATGCCCTATTCTACTCATAATTGAAAAAAAAAATAGACCACTAATCAAATTGGAATTCCAAATATTTTGTAAATATTTCTCAAAATTATATGTTTAAAATTTTTACTCTTGAATTAAAAATTTTCATTTTAAATTTTTAATTTCAACATTTTAAAGTTTCATTATAATCTTTGCTTCAAATATGCAATTAAAAAATTCCTCGTTTTTTCGTTTTCAAGTTTGTAAATTAATTTGGCTGGCAAAACCAAAATATGTATCATCAATATTGTTATGTATTGATTAAACTAATAGTGATGGTTATATAAAAGTATCATTAATTGATCAAAAAAATTACAAGAAAAGACTGAATAATTACAAATAAATACTATATAAAAAAATGGGTTAATGAGCAAATATGACCTTGAAGTCTTGCTCGAAAATTATTCTAGACTCTAAACTTTTAAAATATGTAAAATAAATTCTAAACTTCTAAATTCATAGCAAAAAAAACCCTAACCATTAACTTTTAAACACCATTATTATCCACGCAAATATTGTGAAAGTCAAGGTTAAATTTATAGGAAAATAAATCCTGAATAGTACCTGCATGGATAGTAATGAAGTTAAAAGTTAACGATCAAGGTTTATTTTTATATTTTAATAGTTCAGAGTTCAAGGTGATTTTTGAGCAAGAATTTGGGGTTCTATTTGCTCACTAACTCTAAAAAAATTAATGAGGATTAATTTCTATGAATTACAAGTAAATACAAAGAGATAAATGTTATTTCTTTAATATGTGAATGACTAAAATTTAATTTTGACCAAATATTTTGACCCATTATCAGGTGATTATTAGACCACCATTATTTACACCAACAATTAATAAAAATATCTTTTTAATAATATCTATAATAGAATATCAATATTTTAATATTTGATAGTTTAAATATCGTTATTATTATTTATAAATAATCCTACTAAATTTATAGTTCTTCTATTGAAAATTAAAATCTCAACTAAACTGAACTATTATATTTGTAAAAAAGTGCATTCACTTTTTAAATAAAAAATACATTAGTTAAGTTGTAATTTTTAGATAAATTGTAAATATCAAAAGTTAACATATAAATTGTGTGTGAATATTTGTAAATAATAATATTTAAATTATTATATATTATATTATTAATATTTAATAAGATATTATTAAAATATATGTAATATTAACTTTGAATTTTTTATAATTTAAGAAACTTAATTGATATTAATTTTCTTATATGGTACCTATTTATATCTATTCAGGTCCTTTTATGTAATTATCTTTGTCATTTTTTTTTATTTTGGATGTTCTTTTTGTAATTTTTTATCAACTAATTATCAAAGTTAACTTTTGTTAATGGTACAAGAAACATTGCATCATTTTCAAACCGTTGAAAGGAAATGAGTTTAGGATACCAAACACTCCTTGATATATAGTTTAATGGCTAATTTGTCCTTCTTTAACCTTTTTTTTAATTAACTTGTTAAGTGAAATTGACTTTTTAACCACATCAAAGAGAAAGGTATTAATATAAAATATAATAAAGTTGAAGGATTCAAACAAAACCTCCCGCAAAGTTGAAAGTCTAGAAGACTGCTAGAATTATACTTTAGCATCTACTATAATATGTGTGCTTGTGTGTATTCGTTTTCACCCAAACTTTTGCCTATAAATTTCTGTATATATGCTGCGAGGTGGAAATATACATGCAAAGTCTTGCAAAGATAGAAAAATACACAAACAAATTAAAACAAAAAAAGGAGAGAGAAACCATGGCTTTTTTGAATTCTAAAGAGACTCGTCCTAATGAAGAGCAAGAGGATTCATATGCTCTTTTGGCCATGCTTCAGTGTTGTAGCCAAATCTACTGTGCAGTTCTCAAAGCTTCACTTGAGCTTGACTTGTTTGACATCATAGCTAAGGAAGGAGGAAGACACGTTTCAGCTTCAGAAGTTGCCTCAAAGCTTCCAAGTTCATCTCAGCACAAAGACTTGGCTTTCAGGATCGATCGTCTCTTGAGGCTTCTTGCAAGTCACTCTCTTCTGAATTGTTCAGTTTGTGAGAAGGAAGATGGTGACACTGAGAGACTCTATTCGATTTCTCCTGTGGGAAAGTACTTTGTTAGTCATGGGGACGATGATAGTGGATACTTGACTCTCTCATTCATTTGTCACAAGGCACTTATGGATGCTTGGTAATTTTTTCCCCCCTTCAAAAAACAAATACTCCCTTCAAGTTAGGTTTATTAGATTTCATGCAAAGCAAGCGATCGATCCACAATCTAGTTACCTCAAAAGAATTATTTGATTTGATTAAATATATTTATTTATTGTTTCTAGGAAAAATACAACGGTAGGTCCTTATACTTTGATTGTATTTTGTATTTAGTTCTTATATTTTTTTTTTCATTATTCTTAGTCCATTTAGGTTGGTCAATCTCCAATATAATATTAGTACTTATAGTTTTAAAAATGCATATAAAGATCATAAATTGTTGATATTGAAATAATTAATTTCGCTGACATGTAATTACTTAACTTTAGTAATCGATCCCTTTACTGACATAGAAACAAATTGACCAGGTCTTGAAAATAAAGGCAAGGAAAAATGTTTTTTGAACTTTTAACTAGACAGAGTTAATTTATTTCCATGTTTGCATATTTTTAATTGCTTAGTTGATAATAGAGCAAAATGGCATTGTGTAATCCATATAGCCAACTTCACCTGGTGGAATAAGGCTTATTGTTGTTGTTGTTGTGTTAATTCATGGTCCTTTTCTGCATTTTTAAAGCTATAGAGAAAAAGTTACAAATGGATCAAAATAAAGGGACTGAGAAAAATAACAAAATAAAGCTATAAGTACTGATAACAAAACACAATCAAAGTATAGGGACATATTGTTATATAAGTTTTTCCTTATTTCTGTTTTGATGTAGGATGAATTTTAAAGTGGCAATTGTAGAGGAAGACAATGACTTATTCAAGAAAGTCCATGGAATGCCAATGTACCGATACGCTGAGATAGATCCAACATGGAACAACATTTTCAACAAAGCAATGGCCAACCGTTGCAACATAGAGATGAGAAGAATATTAGAGATATACAAAGGATTTGAGGGAATATCAACACTTGTTGATGTTGGTGGTGGAACTGGCCAAAACCTCAAAATGATTGTCTCAAAGTATCCTTCAATCAAGGCCATCAATTTTGATTTGCCCAATGTTATTCAAAATGCACCACTTCATCCAAGTACATCTCAAGTTCATTATCTCTAATTCTTTTTATGTTTACACTCCTTCCCTCCAGTTCTAAATGTAGGAGCTAGTTAACTAATAATTCCTTATATAGATTCATGAAATTAGGTTGGCTAGTTATATAATTTCTATTGGAACTACCCCTGTTAATTGTTTCCAATTAATACAGGCGGTTTTAATTTAAAAAAATAATAGATGAGGGAGACAAAGAATATTGAAGTCTTACTTTAAAATTTAAGAAGCAAACTCTTTAGCTAGCTCTTATATTTAAGATCGAATGGAATTTTTTAAAATTTTTGGGTTGGTTCAGATAATTAGAATTCTCAATTGGGCCTCAAATTTTATGAAGGGATCAAGCATGTTGAAGGGGATATGTTTGAAAACGTTCCGAAAGGTGATGCCATTATGTTGAAGGTTAGTGCAAAATTTGTCATCTTAATTAGTTTCAACTTCTTATTATATTCCTGAATATTAGATTGCAGTCCTTAGTTATCAAAGTAAATATAATCTTTATATTAGGGACTTGTTTGGTTTGATCTCTTAAGTTCATAAAATATCATTTCAATTCTATAACTATAATATTGTTAGTTTTAAATGATTATTTTTGTGTCATTATTGTTATTTTCTTAAAAAAATTAAACTTAATATATTAACATTTGAGAATCTTTTATCAATACTCAGAAATTCAATTTAGGAGTTTTTTTTTTATTGATGAAACTAATGATGTTAAGGACTGAAAAAACACTTTATAAAACTAAGGGACAAAAATAAAATCTTATGTAATTAAAGGGCAAAAGATGCACTTTAGCATAAAACTATTTTGTAAACTAGTTAAAGGACCAAAATTTGTTTGTTAATTTAAAAAAATTAGAATCAAAAAATTGGCTGATAGAAGTGGTCAAAAGTGGTTAATAGTAGTGGCCTATAATAGTGGTTAGTTTGAATTGAAGGTAGTTTACAATAATTAGATATAGTGTGCTTTAAAAATTAAAAGTAAAAAAAGAAATCAGAAACAGTTCTATGTTTAACATTTTTTGTTTTTTAAAACAAAAAATGAGAACAGTTTTGAATATATTTAAATTTGAAATACTTACCCAAACAATTATTGATATTATAAAAAAATAAAAATAATTTTGAAAAATAGAAATCAAGCATGCTCTAGATTTGTTGTCCGTTTGGCTGTTAAAAGCATATAATAAGTACAAAAACTTGACTAAGATAAAAATTCATGTTGAATAATTAGTACAGCACGTTAGTCAAATGAAAACATTCAATGCATGAATCGCATGTGTGCATGCTTGTTGGTTAGGTTAAGTTGACTAATTTGAGACATCATAATTAACAAAGTGATCTTAGTGGTGAGTTCGAATGATTTTTCAAATCCATACCAGTTTTTCCCAGCATATATCGTGACTTCTTTAGACAAATATTTTAAATTTACAAGCATGTACTCCCTCAGTTTCTATATATAAAAGAAAAAAAATATATCACACAGTTTAAAAAAATTAATTAACTATAATAAATATGTCTGAAAATAAAAAAATTAGACTAAAATATCCTATATTAATTAACATAAGCGTGCATTATTTATTTCTCATTAATATAAATTATAAGGGGTGATTTAAAAAATGCTTATTGAAATAGGTGATTTTACTCATATAAAAAATAAGTAAAAATGATAGTTTCTCTTATAAATAGAAATGAAAGGAGTATATAGTATACCGTTCTCATTCACAACATCATGAATATTGCTTTAGAATCCCTCCGGTCTAAAATATTAAATTGTATTTTTTTTAGCTAATCTTGTTTCAAAATATAAGTAATTTAGTATTTATAGAAATTTTTTCTCCTTTTACCCATTTTATTAATCAACAAAAATTCTTGTATTTATTGTAAATTTATGACCTACTTACTCATTATAATAAATTGGGACTTAGGGTAAACAGAGAAAATAATATATATTTTCATGTGAATAAAAAGTTTATTGCAGATGGATTATTGTTGAAAGCTGCTTATATATATTTTGGAACAGAAGGAGTATGCTATAAAAAAATCATGGGATCCATCAGTTTTAACTTGTTTTATGACCATTTATACCATATACCAATGAATCTTCTAACGTTGTGGGCAATATACATGTTTTGTAGGCTGTATGCCACAATTGGTCAGATGAAAACAGCATAAAAGTGCTGAGGAAATGCTATGAGTCGTTGCCAGAAAAAGGGAAGGTGATAGTGATGGAGTTCATAATGCCCGAAGAAATTGGACCAACAAAGGAAGCCAAGTTCGTGGCAAGCTTGGACAACATCATGTTTCTTCATGATGGAGAAGAAAGAACTGAGAAAGAATTTGAATCTCTTTGCAAACATTCTGGTTTTTCTGGTTTCAAAATCGCTTGTCGTGCTTTCTCTGCTTTAGGAGTTATGGAGTTCTACAAGTAATTATACAGAGTGATCTTATATAACATTCTCTTATTTCAAAGGGTTTGTTTAGAGGTTTCTCTTAGTGTACTTGGTTTGAATATATATGATAAGAATAAAGTTACTAAAACTAACTAAAGCTAGTTCAAGTGGATAGGATGAGGTTGGACATTAGTAAATGTCCAAAGTTTAACTCCTCTTGGTGTAATAACACAAAGAATAAAATATTTTATGTTGGGTTTGAATAGATTTAAATTTTTTGATATATATATATATATATATACTAGGATTAAAGTTTATTTTTATTTATGAACTTTTTTTGAGGAGCAATGGGTATCTTGGACTACTAAATGGGCCAATTTTCTTTTAAACCATATTTTCAAGGAGCAAAAAACCCCTCCGTTAAACACCCATTAACTTTTCATTTTTAGCTAATGTAATGTGTGTGTGGGCCCACACATAATGATAGGTGGACTCTAACCAAAGCCATTAGTGCTAATTTGTCTCTAAACTCTTTTTTCAAGATTACTGGGAACCCTAAAGTCTAATTAAAATATAATTTAATAAATATTATTAAAATATTAAATATTTTAATGTTGAATAGCTATTAAATATTTTAATGTTGAATAGCTTAAATGTTATTATTTATAAATATTGACCTGATGAGAAAATTAATATTGATTAAGTTCCTTAAAATTTTTAGGTGCTGCCCTAAAATTTTTTGGTCAATTAATAATTTTCTTCCAAAATATTGCATTATCTCTATTTTTTCTTCTCAAAAAAATGGTTCAAGAAAAAAATTATCCCACTTATTAATATAAGATAGCCAATGCTCCCTTAAAAAAATTCAAGGGTAAAAACGAACATTAATCCTATATATTAAGAACTCTTGGAAAGAATTGTATTCACAAATTATGGGAATGCATGCCACTACGCACTTTATCAACAAAAATAAATTTCATAATCTAGCTGTCACTGCCTTCTTTTCTAGTTCTATGTATTATTTTGAGTGGCATGTACTCCTATAATTTGAGTTAAAAAGGTGTTTTTGTCTCTCAATTATCGTTGCAAGTTGTACTAGGTATATCTTTAACTATCTATTAGAGCAGTATTGCTACCAGTATCAAAATCATTGTACTATTGCCATTGACAAATGGGCATTAACATTGACCATTAAGTTATAATATCTAAATAAAAATTAATCATCACTACATTGTTGTAAAAATTTGTTGGTCTTACTTTAAACTATTTTTACAACTATCGATGTCACAAGGGCTCATTGGGCCCAAGCCATATTACTATCATTATTCATGTTTTAGGGTTTAATCTGTTAGAGTAATTCTAGAACCTAGTTGGTAGCACATCTAGGGAAAATATTTTTTATGATTTTATAAGATTTAGTTAGATTTAGTTTTGTGTGTGTGTGTGTGTGTGTGTGATATCGTAATCTAACCTAAAAGATCGATCATTATATACTGCACAAATTGATAAATTAAAACAAGTGATTATTGCATTGAATTCTTCATGGTATCAAAGTAGAGATGATCTAATTTATATTCATTCTCAATACTGAATGTTAAGATGGAGATGGTTTGTTGAAGAACATAACCCCACTTCTTTGATGATGACAATCATAAACCATTAAGTGCTAAACGATGCTTACTCCTCAGCAATCACCATTCATCGATTGAATGGTCAAAACTACATTTAATGGGCAACTTAGGTACATCTCTACATCACAGGCTACGAGAAGTTCGTGCACCGTAATAGGAGCAAACCTAAACCTACCAAAAATGATGCCAAGTCCTTCGAATGGGAAGATGATGACTTAATTGTGCAGTTTTAGCTCTCTTCAAGAACACCAGAAATTAGTGCAAAGTTTGAACTATTTTATTCTACTCAAGAAGCATTGGATGCAGCAAGGGACACGTTGGCTTCATGGAAAAATGGAGTTGCCATTCTGGAGATTGAGGGAGCATGTAATGACCTTAAATTTTAATTAATTATTTTCTCTTCCAATTAATATTTTATTCATTTAGTTTAGTTTTATGGACAATAGAAAATTGTGGCCTATTGAAACCTATGTTGATTGCTTACGTGAAGGTCTAGAGTTTGCCTCTTACTTAGGCTAAAGCTTGATTTTATTTTTTTTTTGTTTTAACTATGGGAAATTACCAAATTATCCTTGTCTCTTATGTTATTAAAAAAAATATATGATGGGTTTCTTGTAATTTTCCCCAAATAAGCTTCATTGTTCAAATTTTCTCATCCTCTATTCGGTAGACTAGCAAAGCTCTGATAGAGAGAGTGCAACTGAGAGAGAGAGTACAACTCTTTCCTCCTCTTTACTATTAACTTGTTTCCCAAGACCTTGCTATCAACTCTGCTCTTTGCTACCATTAGTTCATCCACCATTTTGCTCTCCATCAACGTTCATCTAATTCAGTAGGTGGATTGCCAAACTCTTTTCCCCTATCATCATTCTTTGCTCCTTTTCTACCCTATTTCAGTGTGTGGTACGTGGTCTTCAACTTCTCGCCGACATAATTTGTTGTTAGAGTGTTAAAGTCATGGGATGTCTTCATCCTTTGCTTCTTCTCTATTGTATGGTCAATGGTGGTGCATGTGTGTGTGCTCAATCTTTATGTATTCTTCCTTGTTAGCTACTGGACGTCACATATGTATGTATGATAAGCTTGATTCCTTCTCTTTTTCTAGCCAATGAATTTTTCTCTCTTCCCAATGGTTGCTATCGTGCCTTTTAGGAAAAAAGTAAGGATTGAAAAATCATTTGGAAGTTGTTGAAAATTCTTGAATGCTTATTCCATGATTTACTTAATGGTAAAAGCCCTCAAGGTGTTTGTAGAAATACTTGAAAGAAGAATTTGGTAGAAATAAGGTTGTTTAGGCTTTATATTAAGGCCTGGAGGAATTATTGAGCCATTTGGAAGTGTGTATATATATATATATATATATATGCATAATTATATATACAAGTAAGAGGTTTGAAAATATTGATTGGATCTTGAAGTACCTAAAGAAGATAATGATAAATTAAATGATGGTTGTAGTGCTTCATTAAGCATTAAGAAGGCACAAAAGGGATGGAAAGGTATTCTCTTTCTCTAGTTGGGTTGTTGATATGTTACTAAATTTGATAGTGAACTTACTGGTTATGTTTTTTTTTTTAAGTTGTAATGTTGTTTGTGATTGAATTTTAATGTCCACCAAGTGCTTGAAAATTTCTTGATAAGTAAAATTGAAGAATGTAATGAGTACCTAATGGGGTAAACAAAATTTTGTTAGTGTTGGAAGCTAGGTTGTTAAATGCTTACTTACTTACATCAAGAAACAAACAAATAAATGATTTTAGAATTGTGATTTATTTGTTAGGAAAATAATGGAATCATTGGAATTAAAGTGAGAAGTTGAAGAGAAGTAAGTTTTAGAATTCTTGAAAAATTCCTCAGGTGAGTAAGAACATCCCAACTAAATTTTTGTAGGAGAATTCCTAATTTAAAATATTTTTTGTTATTTTCTTATGATTTATACAATTCTCCTCACCTATTTTTTTGTTTACATTATTTGGTTTATTAATGAATCTGCTTTGTTTTCATTTAAGAATTATGCCATTGTTAAGGAATACTTGGATTTGATATATCACTAATCAATTATTTTTCAAAATAGTTCCATTGTTTAATTTTATAATTGATGAGAGAGCTATTAATATGGTGGTTCATGCATGGAGAAAATGGAAAGGAGTTTGTTGGTTGAATATTATATTTTGAAAGGAATAATTTTAAAATCGATGTTTGTACCTATGCACGCTAGATTTGGATTAGGGGGACTAAATTTAAAATGTTAAATGCTAACGGTAGTTTTGTTAGCCCTTAGCATGCTATAATACACCTAGCTAATAGGGTGCTAGTCACGTGTAAAGGCCAACTCACATGGAACAAAAGGACAGTTATTCATGAGTGTTGTACTCATGCTTGTTTTTTAGGCCTAATGCCTATGTTTGTTTTATGGGCTTCATGCTTGTGTTTGTTCTTATGGCCTCGAGCCACACTTATTATTCATTTCGACAAAGCTCTCCTAAATTGGATTTAAAAAAATTATCCTTTTTATATTAGTTCTTTAAAAGCATTTTTCTTGGTTATATCATTATTCAAATTTTCATATATTTTATGAGTAGTACGATTCTTGATAAACCTATAAGGTTCCAATATTATTGGTTGATCTAATGATTATATTGTTGAGCAAAATTTTCATTTATTATTAGTTAAAGTATGTGTTTTGATATTTTGTTCACTTTTTTTACACTAAATTTCTTAGTTACTACTGTTACATGTATTTATTTATAATTTTAATTAGAATGCTACTCACTAAAAATTTCTTTGGTCTCAGATATTATAGATAACCCTATGTCTCCTACTAATCTTTGAGGGGCATTATTGCTTTTTGGATAATGGAAGCACGCTTTGATCATTTCTTTTGATGTAACTATATATTGCATTATAGTATTGTCATTTAGTGCTCTACACATACCATAGTTAGGTTCTAATCTCATTTTGTTATTATGTAATCTATTGGTGTGGAACTAAACTTTTTTTTTAGATTTTGAACAAGTTTTGTAGCTATAGAAATATCAAGAGGTCCTATTTATAGGGTAGACTTTATCAAAATTTCTACAAAATGTTCAAGACTTTACAAACTTATATTCATATATAAGTATATATTAGAGACTTATTGTTTTGTATAAATTATTTGTCATTATTTTGGCTTAATTTTTGGTTAGCTAAGGCTTATGGGATAATGAGTTTATCTCATATCCATGCTCATCACATCCTTAGTACCAAGGTGTGATAGAGCATTGCATGGTATGAAAAAAGGTACACAAAATGTCACTCAATATTATACTAACCTAGTTGTTCTTTGGCAACAACTTGATGCCTATGAAACCTATGAGTGGTCTTGTAACCAAGATGCCACTTGCTATCTAAAAATTAAAGAATAGCCCTTCTATAATTTTTTATTGGGAATGGGATTTTTGATTATGTTTGAGGGAGAATTAAGAGGCTTGACATGTCACCCACTTTAAGAGAAGTGTTCTTTACAATTAAACATGGAGAAAGCAAGGAAAAACTAATCTTAAACATACCTTTCAATCACAAACGGTCTTTCTACTAGATTGCTTGTGGCTAAAGGGTCCTTAAAAGAGTGATAATCAACGAAAGAAAATCGA